TAATTGGTAAAGAAGTCAAGTAGAGATGATGCAAAAATATATCACAAATGACATGAAATATCTGGAGATAACGAACAGTATTCAAGCTCAAAAGTCCATAAAACATTACAAAATAGGAGCAGAGCAAACACGGTCTTCCAAAACATCAGAGGTGGGATTAGGTGCCATGGAGGAGTGAGCATCCCCTGCCGACCAGTCACACCCGTCGTGTGCTCCTTGTCATGATCGGGAAATAACGGAAAAATCCGTCGACAATTCAGTGTGTAAATAATGGCCTGACAATTTGTATGAAAAACTTCAGTCAGCATTTGACTCAATGATAAATTGTATTTGCTGACAAGGCCATTGTATCGACCATAGAACTTATGAAATGATGACTTTAAACGAGACTGCTGATATTCTTGTTTCATCAACTTGTTTGTCAATAATTTACCTCGTTTTAGAAATTGTACATAGGTATAGCATGCTCTTGCGTATTGAATCAACTGAGAGCAGGTGATGAAGGTATATTGCTGCATAAGTAAGGGAAGTTGACGATTGAAAAGTTAAAGTCATCACGTTTATCATAAAGGTTGGTTGTTATATTACCATTAACGTCTTTTTCAAGTGAAATATTCAAATATGAAACAGATATGTCTCAACGGGATATATCGTAGCGACATAAGAATGGAAATAACAATTGTTAATTGACAATACGTCGTCGATATATCTAAAAGTCGAGATGAAGGCCACAGCTAGTGTTTTTTTCTTTTCACGTATAAGATTTTGCACTAATTCTGCTTCATATGAATACAAAAATAGGTCTGCTAATAACGGGGCGCAATAGGTACCCTTGGGAATTCCAACAGATTGTTGGAAGACCTGGTCTCCAAAAACCACATAGATATTGTCAATCAGAAACTCAAACATCTTTTTAATGTCAACTTCAGAATACTTGTGTGTACAATCAGAATGTTTTTTAACAAAATAATTTTGCAAGTGACCAATGTCAATTAAGGTAAGTAAATCTACGAGTTCCATTTTTATTGAAAAAGCAGCTGTCAATGATATCAAATGGTTGTAGGAATGGTTGTTTATAAAGCTGAAAAGTCGTAAGTTCTTAAGCTTTTGATTTTGGTAAAATCTCGTGATTTCAAATTTTCCAAAAGTTCCTTGGAATTTTTAAGTATCCATATCTAATAAGAGAGAAAGAACATACTTTACTGATTGTTCACTTAAATATGTTTATAGAAAGCTTATGAAAGTTGACAAGATCTTTGATTGGAAAGTCAAATTATTGATAAAATTGTCGAACATCCTGTAAGAATTTGATTGTTTAAAAGTTTGGCATTATACTTTACAAGTCATTCAGGATTGTCTTTCCTTTCCTAGAAAAACTGTACAGATTTAAGCCTTTTTAACTTGACGATTTTTAAGAAATAACCGGCATTTTTTTTCTTTTATCAGAGGATAAATAAACCTTAATGGAGTATATCTTTCCTTTCAAAGTGGTATTTTTTGCTGTTTTTTTTAAATATCTGAACTGAACATGTCTTAAGATCATTTGAGCTATGCAGCATTACCATTAAGTAGATATTTATTTTTTTTTAAAATCACTTTTTTAAATTTGAACAAAGTTAAACAGTGACAGATGATATGACTAAATAGCTTCACTTCTTCAACACAATCAATCTATTTTACATTATTCATTCAAAATAATTTACAATTTTTAATTTTCGTCTGTCTTGAGAATCAATGAAATATATGGAGATAACGAACAGTATTCAAGCTCAAAAGTCCATTATACAATACAAAATAGGAGCAGAGCAAACACGGACCTCCAAACATCAGAGGTGGGATCAGGTGCCATGGAGGAGTGAGCATCCCCTGCCGACCGGTCACACACGCCGTGTGCTCCTTGTCATGATCGGGAAATAACGGAAAAATCCGTCAACAATTCAGTGTGTAAATAATGGCCTAACAATTAGTATGAAAAACGTCAGTCAGCATTTGACTCAATGATAAATTGTATTTGCTGACAAGGTCATTGTATCGACCATAGAACTTACGAAATGATGACTTTAGACGAGACAGCTGATATTCTTGTTTCATCAACTTATTTGTCAATAATAATTCTTAAAATGAAATGTGGAGATAAAGAACAGTGTTCAAAGTCCACAATACAAATCGGGAGCAGGGCAAACACGGACCTCCAAAAACAGAGGTGGAATCAGGTCCCATGGAGGAGTGAGCCAAGTGCTCCTTGTCATGATCGGGAAAAACGGAAAAATTCGTAGACAATTCAGTTTGTAAATAATGGCCTAATAATTAGTATGAAAAACGTCAGTCAGCTTTTGACTCAATGATAAATTGTATTTGCTGACAAGGTCATTGTATCGACCATAGAACTTGCAAAAAACTTGCAAAAACTTAAACGAGGCTGTTGGTATCCTTGTTTCATCAACTTGTTTGTCAATAGCTTTCCTCGTTTTGGAAATTGTTCATACGTAGAGCATGCACTTGGATATCGAATCAACTGGGAGACAAAGACCCCATATGCAGGTGATAAGGGTATTTTGCTATATAAGTAAGGAAAGCTGACGACTGAAAACTTGAAGTCATCACATTTATTATAAGGCTTTGTTGTTAGGTTACCGTTAAAGTCTTTTTCAAGTAAAATATCCAGATATGAAACAGATGTGTCAGACTCTGTGGCATCTTTTATTTCAAGCTCACTGGGATGTGTCAAGTCGACATATGAATGGAAGTGACTATTGTTCATTGACAATATGTCGATATATCTAAATGTCGAGTTGAAGGCCACAGCAAGTGTTTTCTTCTTCTCATGTAGAAGTTTTTGAATAAACTCTGCTTCATATGAACACAGAAATAAGTCTGCTAACCAGGGGGTGCAATTGGTACCCATGGGAGTTCCAACAGATTGTTGAAAGACCTGATCTCCAAAAACTACATAGATATTGGCAATCAGAAACTTAAGCATCTTTTAATATCAACTTCAGAGTACTTGTGTATACAATTAGAATGTTTTAATAAAATAATTTTGCAAATGACCAATGATAAGGTAAGTAAATTTAAACTAAAACCAAAATATTGATTGACACATATCCTTAAACTTTCACAAAGTAAACTTTATCCATAATACTTAAGAAAGTATAAATTTTGTTGTATTAATGAAAACATGAGAACTATAATCCAGAAAATGCATAGCAGAAATGCGAAAAAGCAAAACCAACTCACCAGTATTGTCAGTCCGTGCTCAGTGATGTGTGCAGACCAGGAGAGAACTCATCCAGTAAAACGTAAACACTTACAATAATGGAGTTCATGCCTTGTTTACAAACACATGTGATGTTATGAAGAATGTCGTTGTCATTGAATTCTTAGAATATTCATTTAAGTTCAAGTCATTAAAGTTGATAGACATTTAAAATAGTAAACAATGCAACAATGCAACTATGTCCAGATCACTTCAAAACATCTTAGATACTCAAACCATTTCTCTGCTTTACCCTGAAAATTAACGTAGGCACACTAAATGCGATTTTAAATACATTAATTGATTGGTTGTATGTTGTTTAACATCCCATTTCAGAATTTTCCACTCATTTAGAGACGCCACCGCGTATGCCAGTGAAGGGTTTCAAATTTAGATCTATACTCCACTCTGTGCCTTGAGCAGTGAGGGTGGGTTCTTCATCGCGCCAACGCCTACCGTGACACAGGACCACGGTTTTTAAAGTCTCATCACTTTCACTTCAAGTGCCAGGTGCTTGGCGAAGGATATATATATATATAGGTTTGACGCGGCGCGGCGAACGAGAATCGAACCCGGGTCTCGTGATCACGATGCGAGCGCGCTACCACTAGGCTACCGTGACCGGTTTACATAGGGATATGTCGCTGATCAAAGTAGAAAAACATTTCACACATTAATGGATATCTATCTATTATTTGAATAATGAAACTAAATGTGTATTGTATGTCATATTTATAAAGATTTTATCAGATAGTGTTGTGAAATATTAAGTTTTAATACCGCAGTGTTGAAAGATATACAAACTTTTGTTCAATAGTATGAAATTGTGCAATCTAAAAATAATATCGTAAATCTGGAAATATTTCCTTTCGATAGGTTTTTTGTTGTATTTTTGGTCGCATGCAATGCCTTCGCATTTTTTTTTTCTTAAACCTAAACCTATAAGAAATAAAGGTCAGCCATATATGTCCGTGTGGCTTATTTCTTGGCAGTTAATGGCTTCAATTTTTAATGGTGTTGAAATTACAGTTAACATCTCGGAAAAACCTGACCAATTACCCCTACGATGCCAATGCGGAGAGCCTTAATTATATCTGAATCAGCTTAAATGGATAGGTGGCAATGCTAAAAACAATACATATATCTAGATTTGTATTTTTAAATTGAAGTTTCAGGATCTGATACCCTTAGGGAATTTGCTATTACTAAGCCAAGAAATTTTACTTGACTGATAGATTGATTGTTTAATATCCTATTCAAGTTTTTTATTCACTCATAGTGAGACATCACTTGCTTCAGATAAAGAGTCAGAAATATTGACTTATCGCCGTATCAATGAAGATTCCTTCTACTGTAACATGGGGCCTGCTTTTTAATGTCCTATCCAAAAGGGCAGCGACTTTCACAATTCTGGGCGCTGGGCAGAGAAACAGTAACTACTTATTTTAAAAATCTTAGGTTAGAAATAGGGCCTGGAAGCTATCGTGTATTGTCAAGAACTAATCTACCGTATTCTTATACACAAAGGGAAAATTGTATCAATATAGCGTGGACCGTTTTTGTTTCCTGTTTAATTTATCAAAATCTATCACTCATACGTATTACAAATGCATCATATATGTTAGTTTTTCTAATCATAAAAAAACGTGTAAAAGAAATTAGATAAGTTGAAGAGAATATATACTACATGTATATACATGTACTAGTAACAGACTGTTAATAATGTGTCTTGAATGATGCAGAATATGATTTTAACTTTATTTTAAAATGCCCTGCGTATCATGAAATTAGACAAGCATGAAATACATAATACACTCAAAGGATTACATAATTTCATTGGGAAGGCTATATAAAAGTTATTTATGTATAATACACCAATTCCATGTTAATTATTGTGCATTATTGTTCAGTATATACACATCTATTTCTGTCTGATGTGCCATAAAACTAAGGAATTCATTATACTTCCGAAATGACACAGATACTACATGTCTCATGTCCATGGTCTTCTCTAAGCCAATCAACTGTAGTTATCCTCCTTTCTTGTGAATTTATCTTCTACCATGATTTGTTGGTTATCTTGGCGTTCTTCGGCTTGTATTTGTCTGCGCCTCTGCGATTAAAAACAGAAAAACATTATTGCATTAATAGAAAAAGTCATATTCACTCTGTTATGAGAATCTATCAATTGATCCTATGACCCTCATAGGCTCTCAGATTCAGTGTTTAATACATGTACCTTAGGTATTGTTGACCCACAGGAGAGGAAATATTTCACTTTTTCTGGTAAATAAGGGAAAAATTGTTCAATAAAACTCAAAACATATCTAGCGTCTACTTCCTCTTCTTTTGGGGCACCTTAAATAAAAATTGAACGAGTTTACAAGCATGAAATATGCATCAAGATAGAATGAAAAGAACTAATTTGCATTGTAAGCACACTCAATATATTTAAAAGAAAAAAAATAATTTGAAACAATCCTTTTGCTTGTGCTTATTACTCGATTATTATGCACAGATTGTTGACTGGTTAAGTTGATGAAATTGCAGTTGTAATTCTTGATTACAAAATACTCTAGGTGTTATTTGTTTCAATAATATTGTGACCAATAAAGTACTACTTTATGAAATAAACAGGAAAATTTATCGTAGAAAATAATTCTGATAATAAAATATCTTGAATCTATACATTGTACTTAAAAACATTGTTAAAACCATAATCAATTCACACAGAAATACTTGTAAAGGGTTCAATAGATATCAGACTAATTTTTTTCTCTTTTGTATCCTTCTCATTGCGTATTATATTACAGTTTGATATTTAGATTGCGTGCGTGGTTTTGAACTATGAAGATAAACTATCTGCAATAATATATATTTCCTACAATAAATCCTGTTGAAATTATTTAAATAACTGGAAAGAGGTATAAGTTTAGCTATTTAGCTATTTGCGTCCTTTTTCAGTAGCGTGTAATATGACTTTCACTTGACAAATTCTATTTTTTGACTCTTAATCTCAACAGACTTGGACCAAAATATCTTCTTAATATATTAACATAATGTGAATGTAAACACAGTCACATTCGACGGTTACTATAGCATTGGTAAAGTTCATGACAAAAACAGTCGAAGAGACAGATATACAAAGTACATTCTGACTAGGGAAAGCTAGCTTTAAAATAATATTAAAAATATGAATTAGGCATTTACTGAGGTTATAGATTTTCTGTTGTTTAATTTAATAATTTAAAAATTTAAAAACAGAAAAAGACTGTTATAATTATGCAACTGCTCTGTTACACAAGCAAAAAAAAAATCTTTATCAGCTTACCTACGATTCTGCTGACGATCAAACCAATTACAATCACAAGAAAAATGGCAATGACATCGAACCATTGAAAGGACAAAGTGTAAATTTTACTGAAACCTTCCCTGTAATAACAAGGAAAATGCTTTGACGGAAAGGATTTCTGTTGATTTTTATAAATTATCTTTTTGAACTACACGTTATTCGATGGTACATAAAAATGCAATTAGCCTTTATAATTACATCGTAAAAATCTTGCAAAAATATGTATTGACAATAGTTGGCACTAGTTTTTGTATTATTTTTTTTCTGCGTTATTTCCCTTGGCCGCCATCTTGGAGGTCAAACTAGTGATTTTTCTTCTTTTATCTAATTATTACTAAAATTTAAACATGAGTTGATGAAATATCTGGTTGGAAATTTTGGCAAAGCAAAAATTCCCAATTAAAGGAGGCTTTAGCAAACGCACATCTTCGGAAGAAAAATGTTTCTTACACAACAATAGCCAGTGTGACAGGTTAAAATTGGTTAATTAATGAAAGAATCTAAGCATGTTGACCTCAAATATAGCGGCTAACGGGAAATAACTCTTGCTGAATTCACATCTATCGAAAAGTATGTATAATTGTGAAATATTTTCTTGTAGAAAAACAAAAAGATAATTTTTATTCTTTTAATCATCACGTCGGGAATTTGTCATTAGTCAAGTCTAAATAAAGTTGTCAAAATTGACATAGTATTTTTGTGTAGAGTTAGGAAACCACCTCACAGAGAAATTGTGTTTATTAGCCGAGAGTTTTACAACTTTTTATGAATATGTAAATACTAGGTTATAGCTTGGAGAAGGGTGCCACTTCTGCTGCTTTCAGAGGTCCGTGTTTGCTCTGCTCTCAATTCGTACTGTTTCATTAGACTTTTGAGAATGATTATATTTCGATATCGATCTTCATATTTCATTGGAGTGAGTACAGACATTCATGCACAGCATCATTGACCCTAAAATCTTTAAATAAATTATTTTTAACACAAATAAGAGCTTCTACTTATTTGACGATTTTTTTTTACTCACAAAGCATTAGGTACTGTGCTAGAAGATATATCTGTAAGATTGGAATTTATGTCGCTCGTAAAAGAATTTGTTAAGTTGGATATCATGGAGAAATTGCTGAGACACTGGTCTACTGGAGCCGGGGCAAGCTTTTTCTCCACAGACGGAGGACTAACCACGATGTTACCGATGGCCATCCACAGGTAAAACAGGAGAGATGTCAGACCACCAACAACAGCTCCCTGTAATAGAAAATAATAAATTATGTATAAATACTACATCTTTTTAAAATAGTTTTTCTTCTCTTTACATTATTGAATGGGTGGTATATTTCATATTAAAACAGAGAATATTCTTTTGTTATGCCCTATTTAGCTTTAATCGCTCTGTTGTGCAACAATAAAAGAGAAGAATATACAACCGTAAATACTGCATTTTTAAATTCCTTACGAAATACACAACTAAATGCTTGATAGATCCTGAACAAAGGGAATAATAATACTTCTTAAATCTTTATTTCTTTGTTTTACTTCGTGGGACTGAAGCATAAATTAACATTAATAGCTACCAGCCTTTAGTCTGCCAGGAAAGCAAACATCACTTGCAGAAATATTTTTTAATCAATCCTGCAGAAGGCAAATAAAATTTGAGCATCTATACCAGGCCCTAATGATGCTCCCATGCAATGTATAATAATTACAGTTTCTTCTCTTAGACTTCCTGAAACTCAGATGTTATTCATAATTTGAAAACTGAAACACGCTTTGCTCCTTGTGAAATTTAACACTGTCCCTTTTGAGAAAATAACTTAATGTTTTAGCTGTAACTACTTTACCGCTGTCGTTGCAGAGGTGCAGAAAATACTGTAAAGAATTATTCCAGTAAATGGCGCTGTAGGAATGGTCAGCACCATATGAGCTAGCTGAAAATAAAGGATAATGAATTGCGGAAGAGATAAAGGAAATTAACCTTATAATTAATGGTACAATTTCTAAGTCTTGCCTTTTAATAAAATTTATTAACAATCACTGAAATACAAATGCATATCCAATGAAATCACATTAATTCAATCCTTGTCAGGATATGGATGCAATTCTTCTGGAATAGCAATATGCATGGGTAAATTAAAAAGAAAAAGAGCGGCAAATTGAAAATTTTGAAAATTCAACTTGCCTTCACATTTTTTTTTAATAATAATATCAAATTGAACATACTTTCCGGTTAAAGTTTCCGAAGCGGCAATCGAATAGATAAATGCATAGAAAAGGTTAAAAAATTACTTACACAACTTCATTAAAAAATATTTTTCACGAACATCTTTAAAAAATGAATTGAAACTTTGATTGAGTTCTTTTTTCTTGAACATGTAAAATTATAAGGTTTTTATTGATGTTTTTATACATTTTACCTCATAAAGTTCTTTCTGTTGTGTTTATTATTAAATATAATTTTAAAAATCAGAGCTAACATACCAAATTCAAATTATACAAAGCAACATTTAAATCAAGTATTTCTTGACTTCGGAATATTATAATTTTTATTATTAATTAATTATTAATACTATTTGTTTACGTAATGTACACATAAATGAAGAATACATTTCTATAAATTACTGTTAAATGTTTCAAATGTTTATTACATGTTATAGACTTACTGTTGGCAAGTATATCAACAATGTCCTGTAATTTACCTTTTTGCTGTGAAGGGTTATGAAGGTCATTGAAAAAATAAATACATTTTTTGCAATCCTGAATGCAGTTAAAAATAACAAGAGTTCAAACTCAGAAAAAAAACCCACAAAAAATCTTAATTTAAAGCAATATGACATTGTAATGAAACCGTGCAACATTGAAGTCCAATAATGCATAATTAAAAAAAATCAACAAATTATTTAAACTTGGCTTAATATCATGAATTACCCCTTACTTACGTAATAAAACTAACAACCTCATTTAAAGTCATATTTCATAAATTCTATGGTCGTTATAATGACCTTGTTAGCAAATCTAAACTATCATTGGGTCGTATTTGGAAGACGTGCTTCATACCAATTGTTTGGCCTTTTTTTAATACTGAATTTGACTACGGAATGTTCTGTCTATCTGATCAATTCATAGGGCTCATGGCGGGTGTGTCAACGGGGGATGCTTACTTCTCCTAGACACCTGATCCCACCTCTGGAATTTCCAGTTATCCGTGTTTTATTCTCTCTTCACAGATTTGTATTATTTGTAGATTTTTTGAGATCGATGTTTTCTATTTTTTTATGTAGAAGATTAAATCATATTTTCGGACATTTTATTCCCTGGAGGTAGCATAGAAGTTCAATTGTAAAAATTATACTCATCAATATTTGTTTGCATTTACACATATCTCATCACAGATGATATCAACATCTTTGTTGAACTTCTGACCATAAAATGAAGGACTTAAAGTAAACAAGCCTTGTCGGTAGAGCTCTCGCTCTTTGATCAGAAGGTCGTGGTTTCAAACCCCGGCCGCAAGGGAACTAAGTCGATAGAAAATAGGAAGCAGCTGTCCCTTCGTCTAGCGCTCGTCACCTTGAATTGAAAGTTGCGGAATTTTGGATGAGACCTTAAAAACAGAGACCTCTTGTCACGGTGGATCCCTAACTGCACAAAAACCCCGAGTGCCGAGTAAAGGTTGAAATTCGAAGTCCTTCACCAAAATGGGGTCATCTCTATATGAGTGAAAAATTCTCGAACGAGACAAAACACAACAATCAATCAGTCTTTTATTGTAATATTTTCTTAACGGAACAATATATGAACTTTTTTATATCATTTCCTTTCGTTAAAACCCCATACCAATCATCCCCCATATCAATCTGAAACACAGATCCTGTAACTGATAGATTTTATGGAGTAAATATGTTCTTTGTGTATACAAAAAAAATGCATAAAATTTATCTACTGGACAGGTGAAATTTTTTACAAGGGTGAGAGCAAACCATCAATTGTTGCACAGATGATATTACAGGTACACACAGATGCCTGACTCAAATTAATCTGGGTTGGGATTCATGAATTATTTTAAGCTTACATACTGTTTATCAGCTGATTTTTTTGAGCAGCATTACATTTTTAATATTGCACACCTGACACCTAACATTTTTCCAGCACCAGCTGTGACCTTAACTTTGTTAAGACAAACTTATTTAAGTGTAAATCCAAAGCTATATATATTGATTTTTATCAGAAAAGTTTTTTTCGCCAAGTTAAACATTATTATTTATTTAACAGAACTTCTAATTTAAAATGTCCCCCCCAAAAGTGTTCCACGCTTGACATTCTTATAGTCATTATTAAGCATAACTTCTATGCTTAATCTTTAGGAAATAAAAATAAAATAAGTCGCAGAAGAATTTGAACTGGAAGTTGTAATATTATAAATGTTTAATAAGAAAGACAAACTATGAAGCATTGCCGAGGATATTAACCATTCAAATTCACGAAGGTTTTCAAAAAATACCTTCCTTATTAAGCTTTTTTTTTTATCATTATGACCCTACAGCCAAAATAAACATAAAATATAGAAATAAATATGTCTTACCTTTAAAAGAGTGCCTTTAACATTGGCAAGTAATAACGCCATACCCGTCGTAATCATCGAGACAACTACCACTATATAAATGAAATGTATATATTAATGGCCATATAATGAAATATTCTATCTGTGCTTGTCTTGTTTATTTGCCTTTTAAGCGCTAAGCGAAGCGCAAAGCGCTTAGTGGCATCTTAATACTACTTCCGTTCGCGATCCAGCGCCACTAAGCAAGTAAGATAACTCCACTGACTCTTCTAAAAATATGCAACTGGAAATCCCCGACTCTCTTTCGGCTATTTTGGTCAAGTACTGCGTTACGCGCAGTTCTAATTATAGATGTCAATAAGAGAGATAGAGAGTACGAAATCCGCTCCTAGTGGATGAGGGCGGTTCTTATTTCTTTACATTGTAGTTCATTTAAAAATTATGTAGGCACACACCACTTGTGTAACATATAGCTAACAGTTACTATAGTGTTAATTCGAAACAGTTATAAAAAAAAAAAAAAAAAACATCTTTGGTGCAAATATCTTAATAAAGGCTCATAATAGGTCATGCTATGCAGTGATTGATTACGTACATATTTTTGATATTTGAATACGTACATATTTTTATAACTCAGAAAATTGATTTACAGTGTACTTATGTTCTATATAATCTATATCTATATTAACTAATATTTCTTCTTCTAGACCCTTATTTCAGACAATGTAACTAAAAACATGTCTTTTTATTATCATCCTTGCTCAATGTACAGCGCTATCAATGATGTTGAATTTCGCATCTCAGTACCAATCAATAACAGACTGGAATGCAGTCATGGACTGTCTATACTCGTGTTGTAATCTATACGTGTAACACAGATAAAAAAAAATATTATGAAATATGGGGAGATAACGAGCCGTATTCGAGCTCAAACGTCCATTTAACCTTACAAAATAGGAGCATAGCAAACAGAACCTCTAAAATTATGTAAATAATTCGCAAGGAAAGGCAGTTTGCGGCTGTACGCAAAGACTTATAAATGAAAACTAATTTCGCGGAAATATTTATGACAAAAGTGTGCAGTGCGCAAGATATGGTGAAAAATGCAAAACCTTAATTATTTTCAGTATTCCGTTTCACCGAACACACCAGTGCAGTGGATATTTTATTCCTATCAGGACGCCATTGAATGTACTTCTTATAATATCCTTTCTATACAATCGTAAATTTATAACTCGCTTATGAATATGCAAAAGAAAAAAAATGAAATATACTAAAAAACAATTCAGACAAAATATTTAGTTGTTTTAAGATCTTTTATTCTTAACTTTAATAAATATGTTATCAATTAGGAATTATTTTATCGAAGCAGTAAAAAATAACGTCTATTTTTAAGTGCACTTCTTACAAATAAAATCACAGTCAACAGCCAATCTTCAATCTGAAACACTCATGAACACAGAATGAATTTATTATTAACATTTATCACCAGAACATTTTTAGCTGTCAGTGTTGCACATAAATGAGAGAAATAAATCAGCGACATTTACATGTGTTCATAATTGATCAATTTCCAGCAAATGTATAATGTATAGTTATGTGTATAGTCTGAATTTTGTTGGAAAACTCGTCGAACCCCCCCCCCCATTTGCTTGCAATTTATACGCAAAGCTAAATTTTATAGACTCTTAGGGCGATGGAGAATGGTAGATGTTGAATATAACTAAGTGTAAACCGAGGCACCTCAGGAATCCAAGAAGACGAGCGTCGAACCTTTCAACTTTTTATATACAGAAATATTATATATAATTTTAAAAGTCCTAATTACAACGACTTTTTTGTTTAAAAAATGTATTCAGATCCACCTAGGAAAACACATAATACACAAAATATGCAATCCTGAAACCAAGCGCCTACGTTGAATACACCGCAATATCCATCACTGTGGGATTTTTAAAAGCTTATCAAAGACTCTTTTAAGACACAAGAGAAAGAAGTGCTCTTGAAATATTTTGCCTAACATTGACCATGTTAATAAAATTTAAGAGAAATGTGATTGTCTTATTATATTTTTATAGATACTTCACTGATACGAAGTACTGTGGATAAGCCATTTTAATTTGAAGTTTAGCAAATTACGATTGGCTCGAATTTCCTAAAAAAAAATTTCTCTTTTTCTTGTGTAATGTCTTTTCGAGAATTTTTCACTCATATTGAAAATACACCACTTGACTGAATTTAGACCTATGGTCGGCACTTATGGCCTTTGAGCAGTGAGGTTCTTTTTTGTACTAACACCTACTGTGACACGGAACCTCGGTTTATACAGTCTCGTCCAAAGAATCGGTCTTTACCTCCCTTTGTGGATTCGAACTTGCGTCGTATGGATAAATTCGCATAAATGCAATGATGTTAAAAAAAAAAAAAATAGAAGCGAGTGCTGCTCATAACTACAAGCTAACTCTTAAAGGAACGTCCGGGCGAAGAGTAAATTTGGATTGTGCAAATTGCTCCAAATGAACGTTTTTCCATAATAACTTCTGGAAATGCCATTTAACACAAATAGACTTTTTTCCATAACTGCAGTATTGCTCTTTCGTGCGAAAAAAAAGTAAACTTATAAAAATGAAAAAAAAGTAACAGACTTGCTTGATGAAAATGTATAATAAATTTCACTGTCTTTGTTAAATAACGACGTATAACGACGCCATGTGATGACACAGTCTCGAACCTTCAAATCTATCCTTTTGCGGTTTAAAGAGGCGGATACAAGTTTTATTTTAAAGTGAATATGTATCAACAGCAGTTGCACTGTCAACATATTACTTATTCCAATACAACAGACAATTTAAATTCAAAATAAATTTGATGAGTTTCAAATTGCAAACATTGCTTAGCGCTTCCCAGTACTTTCAGTACTTTGATTATAATCTGTGTACAATGTATTTACTGTTGATCAAGCATTGAAGCGTCATACCTTGCCAATTTTTCTGTTGTTTAAATGTGTGCACTATTTATCACGTACAGAAGCATCACTATAACTATTTTTCTGTGTATAAATGTTATTACGTAATATGTATTAAGCAAATAAAGAATTAACAAACATGCTGTTTTAAGTACTGTACTGAAGTACTGAATTAAAAAATGTATTAAGGTACAATTAGTGTTTAAAAAATATGGCATTCTTTGCAAAGATTTTGTTTCTTTATACTAGACTTTGACCCGTGCGTGCACGGGTTGGCATTGTTATGAATGCATCCATGTGCATATCGGACATTTACAAAATAGATACATCGACACATTCATATATTGTAAGGTACTTTTGAAATAAACAATGAATGTGAATATAATTTTTTTTTTTTTTTTTTTGCAAAATTGTTGCGTAACAGTGTAGCGCAGAATGGGTTTGACCCCCAGTTAGCTATAAATCAAGTCATGAGTTCGAATCACGCCGGAGCTTACATAAATTTCACCTTTCCAAACTTTAATAAAAGAAATTATGGATATTTATTGAAAATATGACAACAACAAAGAGTTGAGCACTGCTGATACATATCAAGCAAAGTAATGAAAATGAAGAAATGTGTTTAGCTGGTATTTTTACACAATTAGTTATTAAACTAAAGGTGTAAAATTTTTTGTAACAATTTTAACACTGCAGGTCTCAACTTGTTCAAAATATGACCTCATACTATATACTGGTATTTTTACACAATTTAGCAGATGTGAAGCAGAACAGATTATCTTGCAAATACCCCCCCCCCCCAAAAAAAAAACATACTGGTTGTTCAAGAGATCATAATAAAAATTAAGAATATCAAATGTACTTTATATATGATATAAGAAAATGCTCTCATGACTGTCTGTTTTGATAAAAATTAATGTAATATCCTTGAATTAGTAATATTTTGAATCGATTCGATTAAAACAAAAACCTCGGTTTTTGAATAATTTTGATTCGATTTTTGGAAACAAAATGTTTGCTTCAGTTCTGTTTAAACCTGTTATAGTTATTGAAAATTCGAAATAAATATTAACCAATTTGAAAGTTTTTTTCATCTTTTATGACTCAACAAATGTAATGTGTTTTACTTTTTAGCTCACCTGAGCTGAAAGCTCAAGTGAGCTTTTCTGATCACATTTTGTCTGTCGTCAGTCTGTCTAGCTGTCTGTAAACTTTTCACATTTTCGACTTCTTCTCCAAAACCACTAAGTCAATTTCAACCAAACTTGGCACAAAGTAATTCCTTATGTGAAGAGGATTCAAAATTGTTAAAATGAGTGACCACGCCCTTTACCAAGGGGAGATAATTAAGAAATATTGAAATTTTTTGGTAAATCTTTAAAAATATTCTTCTCAAGAACTATTTGACCAGGGAAGTTGAAACTTATGTGGAAGCATCCTCAGGTAGTGTAGATTCTAAATTGTTAAATCATGACCCCCAGGGATAGGGTGGGGCCTCAATGGGGGTTGAAATTTTACATAGTAATATATAGGGAAAATCTTTAAAAATCTTCTTCTCAAGAACCTTTTGGCCAGGAATGTTGAATCTTACGTGGAAGCATTCTCAATTTCCTTTAAATCTTCTCATGACCTTTCATGACCCCTGGGGGTACGGTGGGGGAGGGGTATCCATGGGAATATTTATAGGAATTTTTTTTTTAATGAATTTTCTTTTCCAAAACTACATGACCAGAGAGGTTTTCTGAAATGTAACCACAACCACAATGGGAGAGGGGGGAACAGAATATTTACTGTAAATTTTACATATAAAAATCTTTGGAGAAAAATCTCAAAGTTAGAATATGTATCAAAAACTTAATATAAAAAACTAAATTTGTACAGATATTTCTGATCTGTTAAAGCTGTTTGGTTTGGAGTATTTGACCATAGTTGCTCAGGTGAGCGGTGTGGCCCATGGGCCTCTTGTTTATACTAAGTATGAAATATATGGGAAACATAAATTATCATTATCTTAGATAAGCCAAGCAAGGGTATCCTAAGTAGGAAAGTAGGAACTTGAAGGTACTTCTTGCTGCAATAATGAAGCCTTTTCCTGGGGGGTGGGGTACAACTCTTTTTGGATCATACAATATCATTTCCATTTTTTAATTGAAATCATACAATGTAATCAGGAACATTTTAAAATAAATGTTTCTAATGTTATTATTCAGAGCATAATTTTTTCCAAAATATTTAGTAAAGTCTGAGTTTACCGCAAACTTTAAAGCTTACTGACCTTTACCGATTTTATTTTGGGACAGCCAATGAGAATTTGGGAGGGGATCTTGAATTGAATATGGGAATTTTTCTTATTTCATACGTAAATAATGCAGGCAAAAATAAAATAAATACCTCATAAACATTTATATGTGTTTAGTGATAACAAAAATTAATCTACTGCAGTATTAAACGTCATTACATCACATGAGAACTGTCATGGCTGCTGAAGAAGACAACTTGTTTTCACGCTGGTGTATTTTTTCTTGTGGCGATTTAATAAAACATAAGTTTGTTTGCTACGATTAAATATAATTCATTTCATCATTGAATAAATATTTTTACGATCTTAATTTTGTCCCACCTCATAGTTTTGAGATTTACTATGCATGGATTAAATTTTACAAACAATCGGTATTTTAGCAGCATTGATAGAATGAACTGTACGGGCCGCAAGGGCTGACTTCAGACTTCCTATCAAGCGTAGTTACCACGACAACCTTTACATATTTAGAAGAACAGGCTGTCCCTTCTATATAACGTACCGAAGTTCAATAACAATAATTTACATATTTCACCCACTTTTTTTAAAGTTACAGAAATTTTTGGAGGTGAAGTTATAAAATTCAGCAGTGAAGGTAATAGTGAACATGGCGAACAAATTCAAGTTGCAATCATTTAGACACATTTCAAATTGAAAATATCGGTTATATTGACGTATTTAATTATTTCGATTTATTTCAAAGTTAAGAAATGAAAATAATGTTATTGTAATTTTTGGCGGAAAAAGAATACCTACTTCACTAAGATGTGATTCTAGCTGGAGTTGTAAACCCCCCCCCCCCCCCCATTTACCCTCAAAAAAGCATAAAAGAAAGGAAGGATAAAATAAAATCGGGTAGTTACATTAATATTGCTCCTACTATCATGAGCTTTTTGCCTCCGTTGAGATGACCAGAGACATAAATAACATATAATGTGTCTTCGAGATGGCAAATGATAACCCACGTGGCCACAATATCACACTTGCATGGATAAACTTAGAAACGATAATACAAATACGTGTAAATTTTCATTGGAAATTTGCTATAAATTTTGTTCATATATATTAATGATTTCTTATTAGAGAAAATTATAAAACAACAAATATATATCTACTTAGTACAAATTACTTTTGTCTTCTCTGATTTGAACACCGTGATTTAGCGTGAATGTAATACGCACGCGCAAGATTGTAAAATCCAAAAAATCCAGATGATTTCCGGAATTTTCTGAGGAATTTTCGTTGATTATTAATTAGCGAAGCTTAACAGAGAAAAAATAAAAACAAATTTGTAATCTTCAAGTACCAATGATGTTTAAAATATATAAAACAAACGACAGTACTCCTCCAATTTATCGGTATTAAAGGCCAAAAATTCGAGTCTATTATTTTAATATAGTGGTATAGATATGTTTTCTTATATCTGTAAGGTGTTCAGGAAATGTAAATGGACTCTTTATAAAATAGTTAGACGAATTCATGATTGTAGGATTCAGATTGAATAATTCAACATAACTTTAAAGTCCTCAGATTTCCATATTGAAACACATAAACAAGACTGATTTTTAATCAGTATTTCTATTTGTTACACACAATGTCTTTAAGATTGTACTTAAAATATGTGCATACCAAGTTGTGCAGGATTAACATTCTTCACCAAAACAAAAGGTCTTTACAGAAATTTTACAATAAGAAGTTGCTTTGATACCTGTTAGTTTGGAGGCGATGGTTGACTTCCTCTCTGATAATTTTCTCCACCTTTTTCTGATAATGTCTTGTAGGGTCATAGAAGATAATGCTGCATACCCACTAGACACAGTACTAAGAAAATAAAAGAGTTAAAATGATATATGTACGGGACTAGATAATGACCATGGAAATCCCATTTCAGAGTATATCTTAAGGTCTTCGCGTTTACGCTTACTGCTTAAAGCTGAACACGATTCGTAAAAGGCAGACATCTATGTTTGTCCGCCATATTACTCTACATTTCCCGTTAGCTGAACGGTCCCTACATATGTAAGCCATTCACCTGGTCTCGGTTCAGTGTAATCAGTGTTCACCGGTGTGGACGGACTGCTATTGAGAAACTCTTGGTAGCGACAAAAGTAACTGTGTGCTTCTTCCTCGGGAGTCGCCCGCGTGGCGCAGTGGTTAGAGCGTCTGCTCTAGAGTCGCAGAGTAAGGAGTTGATCCTTACGTCGCGGGTTCGAATCCCACTGTGGGACCTGGAGACCAGTCCTTCGGATGAGACCGTATAAACTGAGGTCCCGTGTCGCAGTAGGTGCTGGCACGAAAAAGATCCCTCACTGCTCAATGGCCGTAAGTGCCGAGTATAGGACAAAATTTGCTTCTCTACACCGGCAAGTGGTGGCGTCTCCATATGAGTGAAAAATTCTCGAGAGGGACGTTAAACAGCAAACAATCAATCAATCAATCTTCCTCGGGAGAAGAGAAAATAACCAAAGAAACTTAAATCAGTTGCACAGGTCAGTGAAGTACATATACAAACACGCGTAAGTTGCAATATATTGTAAACAAAGGTAATGTAAGATAACCAACATGGACACGTGTCGTCCATTCGACTCAGATACCCATGACAAGAAAGCAGTCAGGTGTAAGGAATGCGAAGGGTATATCCCAGTTCTGATATCGGAGATAGGAAAACTAATATGGCGTATGCCTTTTTATGAGTCATGTTCAGTTTTAATATGCCTAACCCAGATTTATCACAATACAAAACAACAATGGTCTGCACTCAAATTTGCCTTATATGTATATAATATTAAAAGGAAATCGTCAAGTTATTAACGTCCATATTTATAAAGCAATCGTTATAAGGTTCAATAAAAAGGGCATTAACAATACCAATGGCTTCACTAGGGGCATTTCATGTATTTGGAGAAACTGATCCAAAAAAAAAAATATTGTACCATGTGATCATGATCGGAGATTATCTATCTGAAAAGAACAACATATTAATCAGCAGATCGAGTATTAACATTGACGGTAGCGGTAGCTGATTCAAGATTCCTTGAAAGAGGTGCCCAACAGGCCATGGGTCTGGTGAAGCCCTCGGAAGCTCAGGTTTTATGTCTTTTAAATCAATTTTGTGAGTTATCTTAGGTATACTTTATGTACAATTAAAGCAAAATCTAAAACAAACTGAACTGATTTTTTCTTCTTTACTAAATTTGGGTCACAAAAGGGCTCCTGGGACCCCACCAATAATTGATTGATTGATTGATTGATTCATATTGTTTAACGCCAAGTCGGCAATATTTCAGCCATATTTCGGCGGTAAAAAAAATACGTTTCGGTTTGAAAGTTTTAGTTTTGGGTCTCTTTGGCAGCCCTCAGTGAGCCTACCTTTTTTAAAAAACTACAGAAACGATCTTTTGGGTGCCAAGGTTGTTTTAATCCTTGACACGGGGTACTATTTAACTTACCAAAAATTGATGCGGGTCGTCTTTTTGAATACAGAATGGTTCGAATAAAGCTTAGAGTCCTTATATATGCATAATTAGTGTTTCTTGGCCTTTTTCAAGGTCAAAACACTTATAAGAAAAGAAAATTCAGAGTTATATTTTTATAAATGGGGATGAGAGGGAGTGTTAAAATCTTTACCTTAGAGATGCACAGAAAAGACCAGCAATGAAAAGTCCTGTCATTCCAGGGTTTTCCTGAAATATCTCCGAAACAAGTGTAGGCAAAATCTGTATAAAAACAAGACACCATTCACTCCTAACATAACCGCATACCGAAATACCATTTCAAAATTTAACTAATATAACTGAATATGTCCTTAAGGTGTGATTTTTTTTCCAGTTGCTTTAAACACCTATTAGTTCAAAAGAATTTATATTCAAGAATGAAAGATTTTCCACAAATAAATACTGGTTTCTCATACCACATTTTCTATAGTTTTATGCCACACTGAAAAAAAAACTTCAAAAACTTCAGATAACAACAACAGCAAAATAACAACATATACTAGTACCTGATTTGGATTGCCAATGAATTTGGATTTTAAAGGATCACATCTTACTTTGACAAAATAGGCATAAGCAACTAATCCCATGCTTCCCGCCAAAAAGAAAGTCAATACCATTAGTGGAGCAGCAATAAGAAACATTCTGTGAAATAAAAGTGTTATATTAAGCACAAAGTTTTCATCACTTAAATTGTCTTAAAATTCTTTTTAATGTGTCTTCCTGAAAAGCTATTACACGATACAGAACAGATATTGCAAAATGTCTAATCAGAATTTTAAAACAGAAAAAAGCCCATATGAATTAAATGGCCAAAAGTGAAATTAACATTTATACAGAAACCAAAAATGTAGGAGAACATGTATACATGGATTGAGTATGAAGGTTTTTTTTCTTCTCAAAAACTGACCGTAAGAATTGATAAAATAAAAATTGATCTTCTAAATGAAAGCCTGGCTTTAAATAAAAAAGCAGAATAACTATTTGTGAATCAATGAATAAAATAGAACTATAAAAACAATTATAGGGGTACTTGTAGGCTTCCTTTATTGATGGCATACACCCGATTCTTTGTACTGAGGACTGGGACAAAGGAAAGGCGAAAAGCTTGGCGATGTTTCCAATGACAACGTTCCACAGAGTGTAACGGAGGGTGGGGTCCACGCTGAAACTGAGGAAAGAATTGAGGCCAATTTATATGCGTTGACTGCCTCACAACAATGCTTAATCTAGTGGAAACACACACACAGACAGACACTCACAAATCTAAATTATGTTCAATTTTGCTGAGATTTGCAGAGGTTATCTGACAGATGTTTGTGTGGGGTGCTTTGATATTTTTTGGGGGTGGCGGAGAAATTTCATTTCCAAGTAAATTCATCCTCAAATGTAAGTTAATAAATGGACACTAAACAGTTATGTGCATATCTGTTCATACTTATCTTAAGGTATATTGTTGAAATGAAAAAAAAAATCTTTCTATATTGCATTTTACTTCAGAGTAGGAACCTTTACATTCAAACTAAAAAAATAAATATGTTCTTGCTCATCAAATTAGATGATGCGTAAATGAGGAAAATGAGTAGATTCTCTGCTAAATAAATTTGTAAAAACATACTTCCATATATTAAGCCTGTCTCCTTCCGAATTAACACGTAGAACTTCGGATCCACCACCAACCTTCATCGATCCCTATGTAAATAAAACACTTAAATTTTTAATACCGAATTTCAGTATTTTTTTCTTTATTTTAATTTTTTTTCAAAAATTAATCTATTTCCATATCTATTGTCATATCATAATGACGTTAATTTCATCTAAAATTTAAATGAAAGTAGTTTAATTAATACGTTAATAGAAGGAATGCCTGCTTGATATAAAAATTGTAAAGAAGCAAGTTTCAAATTTCTTAATATTTATTTCCTTTAGCCAACTGGCTCATCAAAGGAACAAGTACATTAAGAAAAATAAGTTATTAAGGTGTTTCGCTTCTGACGAATTTGAATACACCGCGCAACTCGAACTGCCGGAAATTGGTCTGAATGTCGTTTTAATAAAGAATTCAGTATGACAGAAAAATAATAGTTTATTTTAAGTAATTATAATAATTATCCGTAGAAAGTAACATAATATTGATTTTTGTGCCAGAAGAAAACATATAATAACTATTTTATATTTCGCGGAAAATTAAGACATGTGAGACGGATTACGATAATGTAAGTAAAAAGCAGACGTGAAGTAACGTTCGGCGCGTAAACTTTGGTTAAGATGGTGAAACCAAAGTACAGACGCCATGGGTTCGTTTCGAAAACGAAGAAGGAGAGATATGAAAAAGTATCTGCAGGGCAATTGACCCGATGGATTAGGGGAGCTATTCTTAGAGACCACAATTACTCCGCCAGTGCAACTCCTGTTAACATTGATCATGATCAAGGTTTGTATACATACGTGTATCATATCTAAAAAAAAAAAAACCAGTTTGCACATCTGCATCTATGTTAGATCTATCTTAGAAATATTAAAGGAAGGCACATGATGTCCATTACAGTGCGCCGTTCTAGTCCTTATAACATTTTAAGTCATAGGCCTATATGTTAATTTTTTTTATAGTTTAACCTACATGTAATAAATATATATAAGATATATATTTTTTTAATTTACTTTTGCTGTTCATTGCTGTGGTTCAAAGATTATAAAATGTTAAAGCTTGATGAAATAATATACTCATTTGATCCCTTCACATTGTGATGGAAAGTTACATTACAAAACAGATTGACACAAATTATGCAAAAATGTATGAAAGGTGAAATCTCACAATATTTATCACAATACTGAGATGCAGTTCCAGTGTATCATGATACATAGCGGATGATTAATGTTTTGTAGCTGAATATGGAATTTATTTCACTAGTGGGATAGGATTTTTTTTTATATTTTCACAAGTGTCTTTGAAAACACAAATGAAAATCTATTTTTAAAAAAAAATCCTGTCTCATGATTGAAATAAATTCCATATACAACTACAAAACATTGAATTTTCTGTTGTTACATTTTCTTTGATTTTCCCTTTACCTTTATTCATTAATTGTTTGTATTTTTGTAACACAGTGTGAATAGGCTGTGTCATCATGTATGTGTGGTTGAGATGTCATAGCAAATAAGAGATTGAAAACAAATAAAATGGATTTCAACAACATATTTGGAGAAACTTTGGAAATCTCTATCAGCAAAGGTGGATACAGGGCCAGCCCCCCCCCCCCCCCCCTTTTGAATTTTTTGTATGTAGAACTTTTATGTCCATTATCCTAAAATCAAGGAAAAAACATCTCTTATTTGTAAGAATTCATCAGTTTCCAGGCACCCACCAGGGCTTTGCCCTAGACCCACTGGGGGTCAATGCAGTACCCCATACCCCCTGCCTTCTACTGCGCCCCGCTGTTATGCAATTCCTGGATCCGCCACTGATCAGGATGGTTTATTTATCTTATAACAGGTCCAGGACTAAAAATAATTACTTTTTTTTTCACTGGCCACTCAGGCTATCGCTTAAATTTTTACTGGTCAATTTTTTAACTCAGCAGTCTAGTACTTTCACTGTCACATTGGGCCAGTAAATTTTAAAAAGACTGGCCCAAAACCATAATAATAGAAATAAATTGTTTATATTGTGTTACTTCTTAGTAAAATGGAACAAAACAGCAGAACTTGGATGCACAACCCTGTCAAGTTAACTATCCCAACACCATGAATGCATGAATTTTGTTATGCATATATGCACATGCTAAATAGCATATACTTACATCTTAAATGTCAAAAATATGCTGTATATCGGCACTATGAACTGTTGTAAGTGTATCAAAAGTAGTCAACTTGTCAGCATGTGTAGATAGTAAAGAACGTTATGTGTATCCTGGTGATAATTTTTATTTATTCATTCTTTATTAATAGAATTGCCAAATTTAAATATACTGGAAAGAGAGGAGGTGGTGGATGGGGGAGAAGTGACTACATCTGAGGATTGGAAGGAGGGAAGGAGAGTGGTAGAACTTGGAGTGTTAGCTGAGGGCTTGCGGGGATGTTGTAAATGTGGCTTACCATTGCAACTTTCACACACAATTTCTGTACTGACACATGGTTTAGCTTCTTTGTTAAAGGTATAAACTCATAAATTTATGTCCAGTTAGTTAGAAAACAACTTTGAAAGCTTGAAAGGTTTTTTTTCATGGATTTTTCTCAATGTAAAATAGGCATTATTCCATGTCCTTATTAAAAGTTTTGAAAGGTTTTACAATATTTTTTTTATCATATTTGAAATGATGCATATTGAAATTCTTTTTTTCCCCAGCATTTGATATTCATTAACGGTGAATGAATTTATTACAGTGACCTGTAACTGGGGATTCATTGGTTTTACATTCACATTTCAGGTCTGTTGCAGCAATACAAAGTGTAATCATATTAACCATGTAAAAACGGGGAAAAAACATGGAAAAGTGTGGGATGTAAATACAAAACTATCAGCAGGTGAGAAGTTTCACTTACACATCCCCTACATCAGATACACATATATTAATTTTTGTCAGGTCACAAGAGCCTAATTAAATTTTAGCTCATTTTTGTACGTATAGGTTTTTCCCCATTGTTCAAAGATTTCATAAGTGCCACTTGTTTTGCATGAACTTGAAAGAATTTATATATATATATATATATTAAATGTTTAGTTCAGAATAAAAACTTGTTGAGAAGCCATTTTTAACTTATTGAAGCCAGAGGCTCATTTGAGCTTTCTGATCTAAGTTTTTCCATTTATCTGTCTGTCTGTTAACTTTACAAAATTATACCCCTGCTCCAAAGGAGAGGGGGGTAAACTGTTTTACCCTTGTGTTTTTAGCACACTCTTTGTTATCCCCTCGCGCAGCTAGTTGCGGAGAGGATATAGCATCGCTACTGTGCATATATGTGTGTGTTTGTGTGTGTGTTAGTGTGTCCGTTACAGCTTGTTAACAAGATTTAAGGAGAACCTTTGTACTATCAAATCTCAGCTTCCACATACTTATGTGGGATTGTGAAAGGACAAATCCTATTCATTTTCAAGTTAATCAGTGAAATATTTCTTTAAATATTGCGTACCTTCAAGCCCTGAAATTTTATATACGACTTGACAATACTCACTTCCTGTTAATCAAACTGGTAAATTCGGATCGCTTCGATAGACTCGCTTCAGTAAGTTCTACTATGTATTTGCATATTTATATTGTCATATTATTGTGCGTATCTTGAGACAATCTGTCTGAATTAAAAGTGTCATCTCTGACACTGAGTAATTGAAATAATTTGATGAACGTTGCAGTTTCATTATTAAATTTCCACATGTGTCTGTTTACAATATAGAATTTATCCTTATTTCTTCTGAAAGCTATAAAGACATTTCGCAAGTTTCATTGACCTCTCAACACTGACATATTGTTATTTTTCATTACGAAAAAATATTGCTTCCACAGGTATTCTCAGATTTTATCCATATTGCATAGGTAAATTACTGAAACTTAGAGCATACGTGATATGTTTCTGCTAGGAATAAGGGAAACTGCCCAATTACGTATGCATGTTATGCCCCCACCTCTCCCCACCAATATGATATGCACTTTTAATTTTTGTTAAAAATGGATCCCCCATCCCCCCCCCCCCCCCCCCCCCAAGATAATATCAACTTTGACTTTTGTTAAAAAATTAATTAGTGTTGCAATACATTTTATGTACTTTACCTTATTGTAAACTTTATATAGTAATAGTGGGTGCCCTTGATAACTAGGTGATTGTATCTTTCTTAACATCCCTCTTGAGAATTATTCTCTCGTATGGAGACATTACCATTACTGGTGAAGTTCCTCTGTGAGGGGATGCTCCACTTAGCGGTGCTCTTGTTTTCGCATGCCATATGGTAAGATTCATTTTTATACGAATCAGATGTCTACTTCCTGTTTATCCATGCGTCTGTCCATACCAAATTTCTGTCGCAACTGAACTTGTGTATATACAGTAAAACTCAGTTATAGCAAAGTCCAAGGGACCTGTGAAATTACTTCGCTATATCCGTAATTCGTTATATCTGTATTACGAATTTGTTAAAGTATATATATTGAATTTGCAATTCATTATAAAAATTCATTATAAAAAATGTAATTTTTATTATTTTTAATCTCTACGGGACACAAAATCAGTTTGCTATATCTGTAAATTCGTTATATCAGAGTTTGTTATAGCTGTAATATTTTCTTAGGATTTGTTAAGAATTTTGCTGGGGATTCCAAAAAACTTCACTATATCCGTAAATTCTCTATATCTGTGTTTCTACATGAGAACATATATTTACATCAGAGCAGGGGTATTACTAGTGAGCATTGGCTCACAGACTTCTTGTTTAGATTTGTTCTCTGAACCACTGGACTTAACAGATTTTACATAATGCAATAGTACATGGAAAAAATCTTTAAAAATTAAAAATCATCTTCTCTGTAGAAGAGCAAAGCCATATAACCGTATTAATCATATTGATATTGAATCATCCCAATGTTATGTAGATCAATTTAAGTTTGGTAGCCATTACCCCTTGGGGGTTTGAGTACAGTATGGATCTTTTTTTTTTTATTTCCTGGGAATACAGAGAAAAATGAGACTCGGGTGAGTGTTGT